TTCAAATTTAAAACAAATACCTCACTTTATCTAATAAATACTTAATTTAAAATGTAAAAATTTATCTTATTAAATATTAATATTTAAATTTAAAAAGTAAATTTATTATAATACACAATTAATTTTTAAATTTAAATACCAATATTTAATAAGATAAATTTTTAAATTTTTCATTGAAATTTTATACCAACGGCATTTTAGCAAGTTGAATTTTCTTTTCCAAAAGAATTGGCTTAATTCAATTTTTAGTCTATTAACTATCACCTTAATTTCATTTTAGTCTAAAAACTATATTTTATTTCTAAGTGGTCTATTAACTTTCAGATTCATTTCGATGAATTTCAATTTCATCTACCTGGTTATCTTTGAGGGAAAACTTACTATTCTTGTAGAGAACAGTTAGTCCTCTAACTATATTTATTTTGATCTTTTAATCCTCAAATTTATATTTACTGTAAAAACAACTTTTATACTTAAAATTATTATTTTTAGGCTCTGATACCGAATTTTTATTCAGGTTTTTAGAACTTAACTCAGACTACTACTAACTAATGAATAGCTGATATGTTAAGCTTAGTTAGTGTGGAATTAGATCTACTAGACTACTAACAAAACTAATCACTTTCTAGTTGTGTCTAGATCTTATAAAATTTTTTATCTATATCACTTTTTAGTTGTAGAATTATTCTGTTATACATTTTTACGATTTGATTGCAAATTTTTCAGCGATTGCTTTTAATGTCTTTAATAGATCTTATTTCTTCTTTTATTTCTTTCAATTTTCTAGAGTTTTTAACATTATTTATTCTTTTTTTAGTAGAATCAAATTCTTGAGAAAGAGATTTTCTCATTTCTTTAATTCTTCTTAAGGTATTTTCATTAATTGTTTCTATTTTTAGAATATTATCAGTTATTCATTAGTTCGTAGTAGTCTAAATTAAGTTCTGAAAACCCGAATAAAAATCTAGTATCAAAGCTTAGAAATAATAATTTTAAGTATAAAAACTGTTTTTACAGCAAATATAAATTTGAGAACTAAAAGATCAAAACAAATATAGTTAGAGGATTAACTGTTCTCTAACAGAATAGTAAGTTTTCCCTCAAAAATAACCAGGTAGATGAAATTGAAATGAATCTGAAAGTTAATAGATCATTTAGAAATAAAACATAGTTTCTATACTAAAATGAAATCAAGGTGATAGTTAATAGACTAAAAATTAAATTAACCCAAAAGAATTATATAAAGTAACTTTTAATAGACGGCAGTAGGGACTCCTTGGATGATATATTAATGGTCAGTCAAAGTCAACAGCTAAGTCCGTCCACACACGGGAATCCTCAGCTACCTTGTACGAAAAAGGGTATTATTGGGTTTGAGTTTTCTGCAAGTTGATTTGTAAGCGCTGCCCATCCTTCATGGTGGTTGGAGCCACTAAATTCCAACTTTGTGAAATTTACAACTCACATTCAGACCAACAACTGGCAACCAACAAGTTTGACAAATTGACAAAATGACATAGATAATTATTACTTGAATTAAGCCTTGGGATGGGTGACACTCTTGCTCCAGGACCCAGTTATGGCCACCCGAGGGAATGTTACGCCACAGTAAAACAAGGAAGTTTCAGATGTAAGGACTCTTTTACCCCTCTCTTCTGCAAAACTAAACAAGAAATCGACAGGCTATACCAAAAAGGAAACCATTACAGCTAAGCAAAGGGAAAAGAGATGCCCATAAAAGGGTCAAAACCCAAACCATACCTCACTCAGAATTGAAATCAGAAATTTCACATAAAAACCTAAATTAAACTCAAGAATTTCGAGTTGTGTTCAAGAATTGGTGAGGCGCGTGAAGATGGATTTGATTCAGAATCATAAATTTCGTTGAAATAAGTCAAAATGATCTCGATTGCACCTATAGAGTGGCACTTCAGTTTCTCGAAAAACAAACTACCCCTATTCAACTTCATTTGCTAATTTGTAAGCGGCCGACATCTTTTTTTTTTTAACTTTTTTTTGTATGATAAGTTGATTCATGGTTTTGGAGAAGGGTAAAAAAGTCCTTACAACAGAAAATTTATTCCCTTGTAGGACCTTAACATTCTTTTGTGTGGCCTTAACCGAAACCCCTAGTTCTGGATTTACGTCATAAGACCTTAGTTACGGTCATGTGCTGGAATTTAGAGGTTGTAAAGTCTCAACTACAGTAGTGTTGCCTCGGTGGATTGGATTGATCATACCTTTCAAAAGAAAATGGTCTCACTTATTTGTTAATTTTAATTTTTAACATAGGATTAAATCCTCTTTTCTAATTTTTTCCCAATTAATTAAATTTTCTATTCTGTACTCCCATGTAATAAATAAACCTTTTCACCGAACGGCTCGCTCCGGTACAATGGCAACTGATCTTGGGTTATGACTATTTACCTTTCGTGGGTTGTACGTTGAAGCCTCACGGAACCCCTTTCCCCCCTCCCCCAATTAACCCTATAAATAATTATAAATTGTTCAAAAAAAAAAAAACCCTTTTCACCATAAATAACTATAAATAAATAAAAAAGTTAATATTAATTTTAATATTTATGACATAAATTTAATTAGATGATTAATAAATTAATTAATTTTTATTTTTTACACAAATTTATGATAAAAAATATATTTATTACACTATTAAATTGTGTCTAAAGGAAAAAGTTAAAAATAGCTTTAGTAATTATCAACGACCTAAATAATTCAATGATCATCTTTTTTCACTGAAAATAAGAGGTGCTAAATTTAAGTCACATGATATGTGAGTAGAATAAGATAAAAAATAAAAAATGATTGCCTCCCATTATGCAACTAAGATAAAAAAAAAAAAAGCTTTAGTAATTACTTCATTCTAAAAAAGAACACATGACAACTTCTCAACTTCCCAACTATCTTCATAAATAAGAGTAAATATAAAATTTTAACAAACAATAACTATGTTCCGACTAGCATGTTGTAAGCTCTGGAGTCCCGACTAGCATGTTGGGTATAAATAAACGAATAAAAAAGGGGTTTAAGAAATTGCTAAATTTGGGAGCTGACTGATATTTCGTATCACAATCACATATCTAAAAAATATTGCCAAATTGCAAAGCTGGTTTCCATAAATCAGTTTTTGTCAATACACTAAAGAAAGGTAAGCGGTTAAGGACGCAAATTAAAGAATTGTTTGAGCGAGCAGCATGCATTGACAGTACCGTCCTACAGCAAACTAATCTCATACAATTGCACTGACCTGGCAGATGTTTGATAAAAAGAGTAAAAGACACGGTGGTGAAACATAATCACTTCCAAAGCTTCCGCAGAGACATGTTTTTCTCTGTGTCCTTTTTCATCACCTTGGCCACTGCCATCTCAAAATCTTCCTGGGTTACATGGACCCTCCTTTCCCTTAATGCAAACATTCCTGCTTCTGTGCATACTGCCTGCAAGAATCGCAGTCATTGTCAAATGAACACAAATAGGAACACCATCACCACCAAGTACCAACATTCAGACCAAAACAGACACTAAATATTTTGTTTTGTTCTTAGTTCTAAATATTTTAGTCAGCCTTTTCAGTTTGTTCAAAACTCAACAGAAAGAAAGGATGCCAGTTCAACAGCTCAACCAATACATAGCAAGATTGTCATTACCATCAGCAAAAGTCAAATTTCTATCCCTATTTTTTTCATTCTTATTACGGAAAGACAGGATTCTATTGGACTGATTACCAAACATAGTATAAGAGTCAAAATGCCACAACATTAATATCTCTATATCCAGCAATCAATCAAATACAATTTAATTAAGCAGGCAGCAGCATGGATACCTTAAGCTCTGCACCAGATGCACCATTCATCTTTTCGGCAATCTTCTTCAAATCAATCCCACGCATCAAATTCATTTTTCTTGAATGTATCTTTAAGATGTCAAGACGAGACTGCATACAAATTAAGACAGAATTCAATTATGTGCACATAGTAGTTTAAAAATGAGGATATCATGTTTCATAAAATCAGCAGCATTTGCTCCAGAAAATGAAAATTTTTGGTACGAAGTGTGCTCTTCCCCTTTTCTACTAGTTCTTGGAACAGTGTACCAATAAAGAGTGTTTTTAGGAGGCCATGTAAGGCATGATGGAAAAGTCATTTAATTGCTGGAATGTGATAAAACTAATTAGCATGTACCTCCTCGTTAGGATTTGGAAATTCAATCTTCCTGTCAATTCGTCCTGGCCTAAGAAGTGCTTGATCCAGGATATCAATCCGATTTGTGGCCATCAGAACCTGTTCAAAAATGTGTCAAAGCAGGCAATAAAAAAGAAAAAGTGTATGCAAAGTATCCTGCAGTCTTCCATCTGCATCTGCATTTTGATGGCATAATCAATACCTTGATCTTGTTAGACGCTTCAAACCCATCAAGCTGGTTTAAAAGCTCCAACATAGTCCGCTGCACCTCACTGTCACCATTGCCACTTCCGGATTCCATTCGAGCAGATCCAATGCTGTCAATCTCATCCATAAATATGATGGATGGGGCATGTTCCCTGCAAAGAAATGAAGAAAAGGAGGAACAAAGATATCAAGTGAGATTAAGGATACAAACGGAATGTATACTAATACAACAAGTAATCAAACCTGAATTCTAGGGTTAAGCATAGGAGTTCAAATCATTGTAACAGCTAAGCATATCTTATTTGCAAATAAATAAATAAACAAATAAATAACACACAAGGGGGCACCTATTTTAATTATATTTATATTTCATGGAACCATTTATTGGAAATTGGTTGATGTTGCATGTCACATTCAATACCAGAATGAATTTAAAATAACCACAAAGGAAGAACACAAACCTTGCCATAACAAAAAGTTCTCTAACCATTCGGGAACCTTCGCCAATGTATTTCTGAACTAACTCAGAACCAGATACCCTGATGAAGGTACATTCAGTATGATGAGCCACAGCCCTAGCCAGCAGAGTTTTCCCTGTACCAGGTGGTCCATATAGCAGGACACCCTACCAAATGATAGAGAGAGCAAGATTCAGTTTTGCAATATAATAATGCATGCCTATTAAGAAATGAATCAGAAGATTTCAGTAACATAACATTACCTTTGGTTGAGCAATTCCAAGACTCTCAAACAATTCAGGATGTTTGATTGGTAGCTCTATGACCTGAAAAGTTATCACATTGCAGTTGAAGTGGTATGGAATCAAACCAACCCACGATGAGGACCAAAATCAAACGTAAACAGTACAAAATTTATGAAATCCTAGTAAGGTCAAATCAATGAACTGAGAATTCATAAGAGAAAAACCTCTTTTATCTCCTTAATTTGCTGGTCAAGACCACCAATCATGTCATACGTAGAATCTGGAACCTTCTCGACTTTCATAAGGTTAACCAGTGGATCTACTTTGCTTGGCAAGATCAAATGCAAGACATAGCTATCATTACGGAGGGCAACTCTGGTTGATGGCGTGATTTTTGTGATATCAATACTTTTATCAATATCAACAACATATTTTCCTTCTGGATGAACCTAGACAAAGAGCAAAAGAAAACCAAACAAGGTATGATGGAAACAGACACTTCAAAGTATGAAAGACCTGAGAATTAAGTAACAGGTAGCAAGACTTCATACCTTAACTAAAACCTTATTTTTACCCATAACTTTCACAACTTCACCCACATAAGATCCAGGCTCCTGAAGCAGCTGCAGTTCTTCTCGAAGCATTCTTACTGTCAGTATGTAAATTAAAAAATGTCATTAACCCTCTCACCAAGTTCAACATACCTTCTGATGATAATTAGAACTTTAAAGAGAAAACCAATTAATCTAAAATGAAATATGTAAATAACCAATAATTAAATTGATATATGCATAGGAAAAGATAAAAATTGATTCCCTATCCCCAAAACAAACAACAAAAAAGGCTTCATTTCAACAACTCATAATATCAGAGGCATGATTCAAAAACTGGGGAAAAATACTACATGCTAGGATGACTAAATTCAGAGGGCCCTGACTGAAGTAGCACAACTGGGACATACAGGAAAATCCGAGTAATATTTTTGCATAATTTGCAGGTTAGATTTTCTTCCACCCATGAATCACCGTCAGCAAACAATCTTCCTCACATCAAGTTAACCTAAACGTTACACAAAGAAATGTTCTTTTTCCTCGCAGATCAAAATCCCAAGGTAAGAGCTTTGGCAAAATCAACAAAGACAAAACCCCAAATCAAGAAACTCATCAATCAATGAAAAAATTAGGGTTAAATGCACAGAAGAAAGAAAGAGACCTCGAGAATTGAGTTCGTTGCGCTGAGCTTCAAGGCGATTAAGATTGTGGGTTTTTTGGCGGACCTGGAGTTGGAGCTCATGGATGTGTTGGAGATAGTATTGCCTGAGGCCTTCCCCTTGTTTAGTGGTCCCAACCTTGGCCGTGCACATCTCCTCCGGTGCCGCCGATTCCGGTTGCGTCCTCTTGACCCCTACAGTCGCCATTGCGTAGATGGAAGAGAAGGAGCTCTGTGTTTCTTCGAAAACAAGTTTAGTTTGGTTCGATTATTGGTTTCTTCCGACTTGCTAGTCCCAAATCCGAATCTTTCTCCTTTTTAGTTTTTATTTCTATGGGCTTAAAGCGGTTCGTTCAGTAACGAGTTGGGCCTGGTGTCGAATCCTGCAGGCCAGGACTTGGATTGGATTGTAAATTGAACAATGGAAAGGACTAAGGAGACTTTCTTTAATAAACTGATACTCTCTTTTGGATACTTCTTACCTATTCAGACATATATGATATAAATTTAATATAATTAATTATAAACTTTCTGTTAAACGTGGACAGAAAATTTTGTTCCTAAGTAGTTGTCTTTTTGGCATATCAATGTCATATTAATTACCTTTTTCTAGATGGTTAAAATTTCATTTTAATCCCTCTACTTTAATAAAAACTTTCTTAGTCCCTTTGTTTAATAAAATTCCTTTTTAGTCCTTAAAATTTATTATCTAACTCTTTTTTAATCCTTCCATTATTTTTTGCACATGTGACATGTTATATAATGGAAATTCTAAAATAAAAGAAGTAAAAAAGGATTAAAAAAATCCCCTTTTGTCCTCTATTTTTAAAAAACCCTTTTTTCTTTTCCCTTAATCACTTTACTTTAGAATTTCTATAATCTAACACAATATTTTTGCAAAAGGATAATAGACAGACTAAAAAGGGACTAGATAAAGAATTTTAGGAACTAAAAAGGGACCTTTTTAAATAGAGAGACTAAAAAATAGATTTTTTGTTAAAATAGAGGGATCAAAATAAGGTTTTCACCTTTCCACATTTACCCTCTTTCTTAAATTGTTCTTACTTTAGTGATTCATTTGTCCCTTTTTTCTCATTTCCTTTTTCTTTTGAAATTCATTTTTTCTCCATTTCATTTTTGTTAAATAAAAAGACTAAAACAAAGACTTTTTATTAAAATAGAGGGATCAAAATAGGGTTTTCACCTTTCCAAATTTACCATCTTTCTTAAATTGTTCTTACTCTACTAATTCATTTGTCCCTTTTTTCTCATTTCCTTTTTCTTTTGAAATTCATTTTTTCTCCAATTCATTTTTGTTTCTTCAGTAACCCATTGTCATCTTATCTCTCTTCTATAAAAGAATCCATTTTTAATCTTCTCTCTCGTCTACAAGCCAAACTTATTTTTCCTTTGTCTTAATAGTGGCACCTATCAAAGAGCTTATTGTGTTTAGATTTACTTTTGAAAACAATCTTGCCTTCACCCATGGTGAATCTGATGTTAGGTATAGAGATCTCTCTTGTATTTGATTGAGCAATGAGAATACACTTATGAAGGGGCTTTTTGAAGGGATCTGAGAGGAAATAAATTAAGGAAATGAGAGGAAAGGGTTGAAGACAAGAAGATGATGGCAATTGAGAGTGTAGAAGCCGTTGCTATCATGGATTTGGGAGAATCTAGTGAGGCAGAGGAGAAGATGATGGGAATCAAGACGACAGCATATCTACTACGTCATGTGATCCATTACACACCCAACGAGGTCCAGTCACATGAGCTAGAGCTAAGAAGATGCGTGAAGCTTTAAATGGCCTTATTGAGCAGATCTGGGTTGAAAACAACATACAACAAGCAAATCAAAGCTTGGATGATTATCAAGGCATGGTAAACATCATTCAGGTTCAAGAGAAGCTTAGTTGAGGTCATTTGCATGGAATTACAAACTTTGCGTCAAAATCGCACAATTCTGCCACAATTTGTAGCAAACTGATATTTCGTGTTATTTTAGGTTATTTTTAGTGATTTTCACTTTTTTTTTATTATTTTTGGGCTGAACATTCGCTTATTTGAAGCACAATTCGTGGTTATTAGGTTTAGGACTTAGGGTGTTAATTTCCTATTTTGATTAGGATTTGTTTTCTCTATTTAAAATGCTTGTAACCTTAATGGGGGAGGGGGGAAGGGGATTGAATCTAAGATTTTGAGAGACTTTTCTCTTTGGTTCGTTTCAGAACTTTACAAAACTTATTAAGATTATGCTTGTGGCGTTCTAACCTGACTTATCATTCTCGTTCTTAATCGTTCAAGGGTGTGGCGTCAACCAACTTTATACCTCTGGTTCTTGTTGCATCAT